GCTAAAAATGGCATTGACGTTATGCTAGCAAAAATTTCTTTTGATCTGGAGCGCGTACTTGGTTATCGAACTTCCATCCAGTTTAACAGAACTTTACTCTTGAATGCTTCTCATGATTCTGCAGGGTGCCAGTACTAAAAATGAATATTCTCCCCTCTTTCAAACTGTTCCAATATTCCTTACCAGAGCCTTCTTTGTGTCCCTCAAATGTACATTACAAGCCTTCATTTGGTAAAACACTGCTCCACTGATAAGTCTCACACACTTATGACTGCCAAAAGCTAGAGGAGGTATAGGCCTGTAAAATTTACAATAACACTTCTGGGCGTGCCAACTCGAAAGAATAGTGATGGAATGTCCACTCAGCATACAAAGAGTGGGTGAGCCTTGAACAAGCGTTTCGAGACCAACCGCTACAATCAATGCCTTGGCTCAAACCCAATCACATCCTGGGCTGGAGCCACAACCATCTACTTATAGCTACTGCCGACATTTTTTAGGCTGATCCATGGCTCACTTTGTATTTCCTCTATTCCGCCCCACTTATCCATTAATGATTAAACCCCAAACTTTGCACCAGAAATGTCACAAAGTATTCTAAAGGCCTGTGGGCCACATAACCATCCCTTAGCTCACCATTTTTTTAAGAATGTTCTTCCCCAGCAGGTCTACCTTAACCAATTGCACTCAGTCCAATGAATTACCCTTATTGTTCTACTTTCAAATTTGTCACTATCTAAATAGACCCAGGATTTGCCACTTATTTTCTGTACTGCTTACCCTATTTGAATTGCTGTATTTACAAACTGCCCCTCAAGGGCACCTAATCTCAACCACATAGGAACCTCCAAACTGAACAAAACTGAACTATATGCCCTCCACTCAAGCACACAAAGTAATGAATTGGGGAGGGTTACCCCAAGCATCTTGAATCACCCCATCAACCTCGAGACCCCATCCCTGGTCCCTTAGCCTACACCTTTACTTACATCAACCCCCCCCCCCCCCACACACACACACACCCTCCCTTTTTTTTATTCTATTTTTCTCTTCCAATTCCTGTCTTTTTTTTCCACTGGCCTGCCAAGGTGATACTTAATCTCTCGCCTTGGATCACCACTATGACCCTCCCTGACTACTTGATGTTCTAGTCTGCCTTTAAGCAACATTAAATAATATTTTACACTTTTTTTTTTTTATTTTAAGACCGCATGTCATTTTTTAAATGGCCAAATGCATCTGAGCCCAGCAGGTCAGGGACAACATCACCTCAGATTGAACACCTCCTCCCCCTTCCTTTGTAAGACTTTCCTCTCTTTTCCCTCTGATTATTGTCCTATATCTGTCTATGATGCTCCCTAGGAAGCACAACTGATGCTTGCTTATTTTGTACATATGTTGATAAACACTTAATTTAGAAAAAAGGCAAACCTGGGCACATTCGTAGTTTGCATCTGACCCCACGCTGACCGTGGCAGCTCTGGGTTTTCCTCTAGGGATCAGGAACCAATCATCATGGTTCCCAAAAAATATGTGTACAATGATAGTCCATCATGGTAATCACTCTCAGATTGCAGGCTTGTTTACAAACAAAACTCTTCAGCCTGCAGATGCCATTACAACCTGAAGATGATAGTATGCTTTGTTTAATACTGCAACTGGCAGATACAATTTCAGTATTAAACGTATTTATTAATTTAAAACAGTCCTTAAAAATGTAATTTAAAAAAATGTTTAATTAGTCAGACTATATTGTAAAAATGAAAACAGGTTATTCATTAACACAGCGTACCAAATCAAAGTCTTTTATGTCCTTAAAAATTTTAAAAATGAATTAGGTTAACAACTTAGTGCTGGCATCATTGTCAGGATAAAGCAATGCATACTGATGCGGCCACTAGTCATGAAAGTGTTAAACTAATTTTTATAGGAATATGACATTTTTACAAGCGCATAAGCCATATTTTGCTGTGGTACTAAATGTAAAGATTTATATTTGGCAAAGAGAGGTTTTGGTTGTTCAGTGCAACAAGATCATTTAGAAGTTAACCGCGTTATCTGCATTCTTTATTTTATCAGTGGACCTTTTCATGTTTTATACCATTTTAATAACTACACTGCTATATTGAACCATTGTCAAACGCAGTTAGTGATGAAGACCATTCCTGTACTATCCTGGCAACGAAGGTGTTAATCCATTTTGACCTCCATGGCCACTCAGTGGAAGTCTCCCCTTGTTGCCATGCAACTATCAGTAATGCTGCATGCAGTGCCCCACTTCAGCATTACCTGCCCTGTGTGTATTCTAGTTTACTGGAGAAAAGGAAAATTTTAGTGAATGCTTGAATACATTATCTTTATCATTTCCAGTTGAATAAAAACAATATAATAGCACAAGGTTAATTTAAATTACAAGATGTACTCTTCCAGCACATACCTTGCTTAAACACTCATGCTAATCTGGTTTTGGAGGGCGTAGAAGTAATAGAAAGGCATAACATTAAGTATAAAATTCCAAGATTGATTTGAAATGTGTTTATTTATTTGGAAAAGTGTTTTTGTTTGCATTATAGATTTTGAATACCCATCAATGTTTGTTTCCATGTACTGTTCTTTCTCAGACGTAGATTGTTAATACTGCATTGTCAATAGCTTTTCAATTAGCAAAACTTTTGATTATTTAAATGTTATTTAAACAACACTGTTTAGTCAAAACAAAGAACTAAAATTGACTATATATGACAACAGAAGAATTCCTATAAATCTATAGTCACCTTCCCATATATAGTAAAAAACGTTTTTACTATACTAAACAACACATTCATTGTTTTTTTGTTTAGTCACAACAAAGAACTAAAATTAATAATGGTGTGACCCTCCTGCGCTCCAAAATGTGTGTTAAAACAAATTAAAATAATAAATGAACCCCAAACAGCTGCTAACATTAAATCATATACCAATGATCAAGTGAATATAAACCATAAAAATGCTGCGCTACATTCAAACTAATTAAAGTGAATGTGGAATTCAATATCTCAAATAAATAGCAATAATGATAAATATAATAAGAAATGTGCTTAGTGATAACACAAAAAAGATGGCAAAACACAAACTTAAATCAATACGCATGTGCAAAAAAATGCACATACATATATTACATCACACGTGCAAAAATGTGAAGTGAAGTTACATCTAAATAATACACACAAAAACAAAGTCCAATAATGGAATATTAAAGGTGAAAAAAAGTCCAATAATGGAATATTAAAGGTGAAAAAAAATTTTTGTTTTGGTAAACTGTGTTTCCAATAGGCTGTAAAGTGACCACAGGTGAAACAAAAACGTGCAGGTATCTGGGTGTAGATAGCTTGTGAATCCAACCACCTTCTGGATTAGCCTCTCACCTCATCTCTTCGACCCTTGCGGGTCAAAGAGCAGTATGGATCCCTCTCACAGATCCTCCAGGCACCAAAGCACTCCAAAACCACTTCTCAGGATATAATATTCCCACTCAGCTCTTCTCCAGGTATAGATGAAATATCACTTTTCGGTCTGTTGATTGCAAGTCAAGTGTGCCAATGGAAAAGAATAACCTTGTTTGTTCTCAGGAGACGGTCAGAAACGTCACCACGGCTTGGTGTAGCGCGCTTCTGACCGTCTCCTGAGAACAAACAAGGTTATTCTTTTCCATTGGCACACTTGACTTGCAATCAACAGACCGAAAAGTGATATTTCATCTATACCTGGAGAAGAGCTGAGTGGGAATATTATATCCTGAGAAGTGGTTTTGGAGTGCTTTGGTGCCTGGAGGATCTCTGTGAGAGGGATCCATACTGCTCTTTGACCCGCAAGGGTCGAAGAGATGAGGTGAGAGGCTAATCCAGAAGGTGGTTGGATTCACAAGCTATCTACACCCAGATACCTGCACGTTTTTGTTTCACCTGTGGTCACTTTACAGCCTATTGGAAACACAGTTTACCAAAACAAAAATTTTTTTTCACCTTTAATATTCCATTATTGGACTTTTTTTCACCTTTAATATTCCATTATTGGACTTTGTTTTTGTGTGTATTATTTAGATGTAACTTCACTTCACATTTTTGCACGTGTGATGTAATATATGTATGTGCATTTTTTTGCACATGCGTATTGATTTAAGTTTGTGTTTTGCCATCTTTTTTGTGTTATCACTAAGCACATTTCTTATTATATTTATCATTATTGCTATTTATTTGAGATATTGAATTCCACATTCACTTTAATTAGTTTGAATGTAGCGCAGCATTTTTATGGTTTATAAAGAACTAAAATTGACTATATATGACAACAGAAGAATTCCTATAAATCTATAGTCACCTTCCCATATGCTGTAATAGCTTTTATTCTAGTTTAGTCCTAGTTTTAATTTTTAGTGTCAGTTTAACCACTTGCCCTCCAGAGGATTTACCCCCCTGCCTGACCAGGCCATTTTTTGCGTTACGCCGCTGTGTTACTTTAACTGACAATTGCACAGTCATGCAACCCTGAAACTAAATGAAATTTACGCCTTCCCCCACAAATAGAGTTTTCTTTTGGTGGTATTTGATTGCCTGTGTGTTTTTTATTTTTTGTGATATAAACTAAAAAAACCTGACAATTTTGAGAAAAAAACAATATTTTTGACTTCTTGCTAAAATGTATTCTGTTACGTCTTTGCTAAAAAAAATCCCAATACGTGTAAATTAATTGGTTTACGTGAAAGTTATAATGTTTACAAATGGCGGTATAGATACTGGAATTTTTTTTTTTTACTAGTAATGGCAGCGATCAGTGACTTATAGAAGGACTGCGGTGGGCATTCTGACACTGGGGGGAACTGACTTGGTGTCACTGACATACCCAGTGACACCAATACAGTGATCAGTGCTAATAAAAAGCACTGACACTGTGCTAATGGCACTGGGCAGGAAGGGGTTAACATGTGGGGCGATCAAAGGGTTAACTGTGTGCTGTTTCACTATGTGTGCTTCACTATAAGCACACTGCTTTGTATGACTCTGCTATGCAGAGCCATACAAAGCAGTGTGCAGGAGCTGACAGGGGAGAGATCTGTGTTGTTTATGCACAGGTCTCTCCCCCATCAGAGATACTCAGTGATTGCCGGGACCCGGTGATTGACAGCTGAGACCACATATATATACATGATTTTGCGCACCCGTGCTGCCCTGTAGCAGTATTTTGTCCTGTAGGGCAGCCCGGAATTGGTTAAGAAAGAGGTGAAGTCACTTCCTGTGCTCCCCTGGGGAGTGTACTGCCAAACTGGAGGGTATTTGGACAGAGGGACAGCTCCCAACTTTCACTGCCCATCTTTTGGAAAGCAATCCCTCTGTTTTTCCTCCTCTGTTGTACCTCTTTTGGGTTTGATATATAGACCACTTTAAAAAAATCACTATTTAACTGTCAAACGTTTTGCACCACACAAAATCCTTCATTCACTCTATTATAGCACCCTCCAAGGAATTTTCTAGACAGGAGGTTGAATAGCAGTTGGAAGAAACAGCCAGAGGGGTCAGATTTGTGTCAGGACTGAGAGGCTCTTGCAGATCAGCTTTCTAATACCTTCCCCTGATCTAGAGACTTGGAGAAGTCTCTAGAAATCAGTAGGCGGAGGTGAGGAGTGGTTAATCTGTATGCTTAAGGGACCCTGACCAATCCCCAAGCAGGAGACTTGGCAAGAGGTTGGGACAGCCCTTAAAGGGTTACTAAATTCAGGACCCTGCATTCACTATATCCGGTCTCCCACAGTACACAAAACATGGAAATGCAATTATTTTAGTAGATATAAACTGCTAAATACCTTTTCTTTTCAGCAGTTAGAGCAGTCTTGTGACTTCTATCAGTGTCCAGCTGAGCACTGGTTAATCTTGCAGGAGGAGTTTTCATTCTGCTCTGACTGTCCTATGAGGCTGCATTACCCCTGACCCTCTGTCTGGCCTGCGCTGATTGGCCCTGTGCTGATTACATGTATCCTCCCAAAGAAAAAACGAAATCCCTAGCAATACACACCAAACTGAGCATGTGCAGAGTGACTCCTAGAGCTCTGTGCTATCAGCAGATGGATTGGGGACAGTAGAAGTTAGGAATTTCAAATTTCAGGGCCGCCAAATTTTGCATTATTTATTGGGTTTTGTCCAAAAATATTGAATCCTTCCGAATAATTTTGATATATGAATATCGAATCCACCCAAAATATATAGCAATCTTCAAAATAAACTGCAACATTTTTCGAATTCACCAGACCAACGAATATACAAAATTAATACTGAATATTACAAAACATAATGTTTAACATAACAAATATTAAGAACAAAATTCTTCAATGAACAAACACATCCAAAATGAAATGAAAATTTTCAGCATGCAGATGTGTAGTCTGAAGTGTTATGACTTTCTTTGCCAGAAGTAATTTGCCTGCTAGCCTTTTAATCTAATATAAACACAGAGCAGGGGCTCAGAAAGAAGGGATAGAGAAGAGAGCTGACCACTTACTTGAATACCTTCTCTGCTTCTGTTGTGAAATTTGAGGATGAATTGTTCCACAGTGGCTGTATGTATATACTTGATTAATATGTAAAAGATTGAATGCCTATTGCCTGTCTGCAGTTCTACTTAAAGGAAAAAAAAAACAGGTTTTTTTTTTGCAGTTCAAAGCAAACTCTAGCTTTGTGATGCAAATATTCAACAGAAATCATATGTTCTGCATCCGTACCAAAAGAGTGGAATTTTTAAGCTGTCAGTCTCTCCTAAATTTGGCTGCATGGATTGCTGATGTCACACCAATTATCAGCAGTTTAAAAATAAGATCAGCACTGCTCAGCTTGAATGTTAGCAATCAAAAATCCTTTGATTGGTGTGCAACTCTGTGACAAGGAGGTATGTGGATTACAAGATTTATGCAGGCCATAGATGGGGAGAAAAACGGCAGATTTTCGGCCGATTAACGAACTATCGGTCGGTCTAAAAAAAACTTACCTGACCACCAATTATTACGAAAATCGGCCGATTAATGAGTAACCTATAACGGGAAATGATGTCATTTTGTGGCCTTTGTGATCCTTTTTCGGAAAACGATCGTTCGTTTTTGACCATCAATGAGGATAAAGTCGGGCGTTTTTTTCGAAAATTTTCCAACATCACCGATAATCTGAAAGTCCAAAATACACGAAAAACGGCCGACAAAATCGTCCACTAACGATAAGATAATCGGCCGGTTTTATTTTCGGACGAAAAATCGGCCGTTTTTCTCCCCATCTATGGCCTGCATTAGTCCAGTAACTGAGATCTGTTCTTCATCAAATTTTAAATTTAAATGTTGTTTCAGGCCTACATGTACTTCAATTGGTAGTGTATACTAGAGACTATCCATATTTATAATAGGGTTTTATGCAACTAAACTATGTCTTGCAAACATACAATTTGATTAATACAAGATTTCAGCGTAGGAAAAGAAGTAAAATAAATGGAAGACGACGCATTTGGTGTTCAATATTCTCTTTGCACCTATTAAATATATAAAATGCAACTATATTGAAATGAACCTTTGAATTGTCACTTTACGTAAGCTGAATATTTATATAAATTGACTTGGCTATCATATCATAAATTATCATAAATCAGAATATGATCTTAAAGGAGAAGTACAGCCAAAGCTCTTTCTTTAACCCGCTGTGAGCTGAAAATGCGTCACAGGAGTGCAGAATGAACTGCACTCCTGTGATCTGCAGAAGTACAGCCAAGAAAGCTTTAACAGTACTTCTCCTTTAAATGTTATGACCAGCCTCACCAACAGGAGGAGAAAGGTGGTGGAGCTTTTCACTGAAAGTAGGTTTTACTTATGTTTTTTTTGCTCAGTTTGAGGGTAAGATTTATAACTTGCTTACTGTAATAACTTCATCACTGGCAAGAGAATATATAGGAAATTAAAGAAACTTATATAATAAAAGCATAGCAGCAAATAAAATATTTCTCTGCGTGACTATAGGAAAATCATAACCATGATCTAAAATTTCAGAAAACAAATACATCACATAATCTAATTTCACAATTGACACAATTACCAAAGACACTGTAGGATATAAGTAAACTGAAAAAAACATGTTTTCCTTTTTTTCGCGGCTGCTGGCATAAGTTGGCCAAGGAATGTGTTTTTTTCAGATTCCTTGAGCAGGAAAAGTACTGATCACAGTTATCCTTGTGGTCTCACTATATTGTACATAACTAATATGAACACAGGATCTGCTGCACAAGTGTTATCAGCCAATAGAGTTGATAGAACAACATTGGTCCCCAGTGTCCAATATTAGACAAGGATCCTGGCTATGCTTATGCCCTTCTACGGTTCTGGTGTTTACTACATATACTCTATTGTTTGTGTGGGTTAAAAATGTACCATTGTCTGTGTGGATTTAATGAAAATTTAATGACTAAAGAATATTCAATTTTTATTTAATATGGTTACTATGGATCAGTGAATTTCCACTTGAGTGAATTAAACTCTTATAATGTTAGGGTGTGGGTCTTGAGTTTCAACATACCTTTCTATATGTGAAATATACAGTACGTTATTGTTTTATACTGATTACGCTGCCAAAACCAATCAGGTTTGCTCAAATGACTATGTACATCCCTTTCTCTACCTAACTAGTGTTCATGATATAAGATGCTGGATTATACAACAATTGTTCATTTGTATAAATGCAAGTACTGAAATGTAATGGATAGTTGTGTGATGTTATTTATACCTCTGGAATAATTTTTTCATTTGCAAAAACAAAAAGTAACAAAATATAAATATTCTAAAGTGATACCGTATTTTTTGCTCCATAAGATGCACTTTCCCCCCCAAAAAAAATGGGGGGAAATGTCTGTGTGTCTTATGCAGCGAATATGGAGTGGCCAACCCGGAATTCCCCCCCCGTTGCCACCGCCATGTTAGAATACTGGGCCGGCCACATGGCTCTGCAGTGCAGAAGAACCCGCTCCTATGTCCTACCTGTTCCTCGGTCCAGCGATGTCCTGCTTCTGTCGGCCGTCTTCTCTCCCTGGCGCCGGCATCTTCAGTGTAGACCCCTGGCTGTGACAACTTGCGGCTTCACAGCTGGGTAGCTACTGCACATGTGCGAGAAGCGCTGAGCTTTGTGAATGTACCCATAGTCTTCTGGGACCTGTCACCCCACAACTGATGTTGGCAATAGGGCATGGATGATCATGGCGTCACTGTCCAAATATGGGCACATGGCCATAATGGTTCAATGTCAATGATGTATTGAGCATTGCCACCCCTTTTTATATTAGCAGCTGTGGGGTGGGGAAACTCCCGCCTGTGGTTTATTGACACAGCTAACTTCTGTTTTGGATCAAATCCAAGCTCATCCCTACTTGCAACCTGAACACAAAAAAGCTGCAAATACATAGTAAACATACAATAAATATTAACCATATAGGTTGAACTGTTTTTTTTTTTTAAAAATCAGAGTTCAGATGTTTCTTGGTTGCCATGGTCAAAGCTAACAGACTGGTCAAACAAGGATCCGAAATATCCAAAAATGAAAGGATACAGTGTGCACGTCTCCTAAATTTTGTTGATTTAACAGATCAAATTAGAAACAAAGTCTGACAATACGTGACTAGTTTTAGATGCTGTCTGCAGCCTTTCGGCTTATGGTGAACCCATGCACTAAAATTTTCCATTTCCAATGTTTAAAAATCTTAAATGTTCATTAAAATAATCACTGGTGACCCATGATGTTCTTGTCCAGGCACCCCCCCCCAGTAATTTGTTCATTCATTTATTCTTTTGAAATATATTTTCTTTTTCTGAACTCTTGAGGCTGGTCACGTAGCGCCATGGGTCTTCTTCAATTTCACCTCTTCTCCCAGTGGTGGGAGGTCCTCATAGATGCAGAGAGTGATGCCGATGTGATGATGTCAGCATTGCTCCCTGTATCATCACACCAGAGTGCGTGGCCAGAACAGTGGCTGAGGCCACTCCTCAATATTGGATTCCTGGGGTCGGTTGAGCAGCGTCCATCCCCTCACTCATATCCTTTGTGGCTTTTGAGGAATATATTTAAATTATTTTTTTTGTGCCAAAAATTCAGCTTTAATGATGTGG